TCAGTTTGTGTTATACACCTTTGTTAAACTAAATAACTAATAGAAAATATAATATTATTTATATTTTATTAAATGAAATTTAAAAATATAGCTTAGATATCTGCCAAATTTGAGCATGCTCAGTGTGCATAAGAAAAGAATGAAAGATGACTCAGAATTCATTGAAAAAGTTATAAACAGATTTGGACAGCAAACAAGACGCTTACAATTCTTGTTTGATTAAACAATTTTTTAATTGTTATAGATCAATAATTACTTAATTATTTGTTTTTGAATAAAAATATTTTTAATAAAAAAATTTTATGACAAAATTTTTTTCTGTATCCCTTTAATAGTTTAAAAAAAAGCCAGGGGGTGCAATTGCACCCCGCTGCCGGTGCCCTTGGTTGTGCCCCGTCGCTGACAACACAAACTTCAAAACAACTGATCATTGACGAATGTGAAAGATTTCCAATAGCAGCACCTGTCGTCATGTTCGATTTCTAAATGGACGATTGTTTGTCTGGATCAGAGACATTGGATACTACAAAAGAATTGCAAGCATAACTTTCTCAAATACTTGCTCGTTGGTATGCTCCAATAATCCCCAACTTCTAGGTTATAACTCTGTGAATAGTGACTATTTGTTCGATCCTTCAAAAGAAGTAAAAGCTCTGGGACTCGTATGGAAACGTGAAGTTGATTGCTTTACCTTCAAAATGACTGTTAACAATCCTGTTAAATATACGAAGAGAACTGTTTTATCAGTTATTGCAAAAATTTTCGATCCCCTTGACCTCCTTTGACCTTTAATTACACGAGCAAAGATTTCCATGCAAGCTCTTTGGCTTCTAAAGATAGATTGGAGTGATTCACTTCCGATAAAAGAAGCTCGAGAATGGAACCAGTTTCTAGACTCACTTCGTAAAGTGAATTACTTAGACATCAACAGATTTGTGCTAATGGAAAAACTGAAAGTTGTAGACAGCTTAATGGATTTGCCGATGCTAGTGAAAAGGCACACGGAGCAGCTATCTATGTAAGGTGCTTCACATCGAATGGAGAAATCGCAACTAACCTCCTTTGTAGTAAATCCAGAGTTTCCTCCTTGAAGACAATTCCAATTCCTAAGTAGGAACTAAATGCTGCTGTGCTGTTGTCCAAACTTGTAACAAAGGTTGTCAAATGTCTAAACCTTGACATATCAGCTATTCACTTGTAGTCGGATTCTACCATCGTATTAGTTTGGATACAACAGTCGCCACACCTACTCAAGATATTTGTTGCAAATCGAGTGAGTAAAATTTAAGAACTGACAAGTGACTTTCAATGGCACCATGTGTCTTCCAAAGATAATCCTGCTGATTTTGTGTCACGTGGTCTGGAACCTCCAAAACTTCAATCGGAAGTTCTCTGGTGGAATGGTCCATCCTTTTTGCAACAAGGTTTAAATTTGACTATAGACAAAGAGATAATTTCTAATAACTCAAGTGAATATTTATCTGAACTAAAACCGCAGCCGGACACTTCTTCATTAGTGATATTTGATAATAATAATTGTTTAGCTAACCTAATTGAAAATTGCTCTAAGTACATTAAATTAATTAGAATTTTAGTTTCGTTCGCAGATTCTTATTTAATTGCAATTAACTTTGCATAGGTTTTGATCAAAGAGGTGAGTTTCGAGAAGAAATTAAATTGCTAGGTAAGGGACTGTCCGTATCTCCAAAAAGTAAGTTAAAGTTTTTAAATCCCTTTCTTGATAAAGATATTATTTGCGTAGCTGGTCGATTGGAACAATCGAATTTGAATTAGGATTCAAAATTTCCTATAGTATTACCAGCAAAACATAAATTGACTAGTTTGATTATGCAACATTATCATGTAAAGTTTTTGCATGCAGGGCCACAAGCCTTATTGGATTATGTTAGAGAAAAGTTTTTGCCTTTGCAAGGTAGAAATTTAGCTAGAAAGATTTTCATAGTTGTGTTGTTTGTTTTAAACAAAAACCTATAGTTGCTAATCAAGTAATGGTAAATCTGCCACCAGAGCGGGTTAACCATGGTGCAGTATTTAATAAAACAGGGATCGATTTCACGGGACCATTTTTAATTAAATATAAAAATCAACGTAAAGGAGTCTATCACAAAATTTACATTTATTTGTTTGGCCACTAAAGCTATCTACTTGGAAATGGTAGATGATTTAAGTAACTTCAGATGCGCTAATAGCTTGTTTGAAAATATTTTTTTCGCGTCGTGGAAAGAGTAGTGTTTTGATTAGTGACAACGCTACAAATATGGTGGGTTCTAATTTAGAACTAAAAAAGTTGTATAATTTAGTGGATAAAATCAAAAGGTAAGTTAAATAACTACTGTTCAACGGAAGAAATAATTTGGAAATTTATTCCGCCTAGAGCACCTAATTTTGGAGGTATCTGGGAAGCAGGTGTTAAATCCTTTAAATTTTATTTTAAAAGAGTAGTAGGAACTACCAAATTAACGTATGAGGAATTTTTAAGTGTTATTAATCAAATTGAATCTATCTTGAACTCGCGACCACTCACTCCTTTATCAGATGACCCTAGTGATCTTAATGTTCTACCTCCGGCACATTTTTCAATCGGTCGATCAATACCTACCATAGCAGGGCCTAAAATAAATGTACCTTCAAATCGAATAAGTAGGTGGAAATTATTAACTAAATTTGTTCAAGCAATTTGGAGGAACTAGAATTATTTAAATCACCTTCAACAAAGATATGAATGGAACTTTAAGAAAATTAATATTGTCCCAGGCAGCATGGCTATTTTAAAAGAAGACAATACACCCGTGTGTAATTAATTGGCCTTTATGTCGGATAATAAAAGTTATTCGAGGTAAAGATAATAATGCACGTGTAGCTATAATTCGCACTTCAACTGGAACATATAAACGTGCGATATCTAAATTATGCTTGCTGCCAATTGAATAATTTTGATTTTGCTAATAGTATGAATTTGATAACTAAAAAAAATGTAAAAAAACTTTTGTTATATTGTTTAATGATTTGTTAAATTGTTACTTATACTTGTATATTGTGAACTCACATTGAATAATAATAACAATGATTTATTCTTAAAACTATCAATTTGATTGAAATTCTAATTTATTTTTTTTACTAGATGATCAGTTTTTAATTTTATTTTATAACCGTCGTTGAACAGCCGACCCAATTTCATGGGTTTACGACTACTTACGTTCAACTCCGTAGCCTTGTAATTTTGAACCAATCCAAAAGACAAGGAAACTCCTGGATCAGTACCCCCAGAGGTATTGATTTGTTGTGGGAACATGGAGGACTTTGAGACTCGACAGATTTAACGTGCATCAGTCACCATTTACTACACGGGGAGTCTTCGGCCGGCGAGGATCGACCCCTCGACCTCTTGGATATGGGCCCAGCGCCCTACCGACCAGGCTATCCCGGATGTTAAATATCATGTATCTAAATGTGTAACGTCGCCATGTAAAGATGATAGCTCGCCAATTTGGCGAGCGTTTCTTAATGTTTATGTTTATAATTATTACTTCGTTCGTCGTTGTTGAGGATGCGCTATAGTGAGCATCCTCTAATAAAAAAATTTGGATATCAATTAAAAATGCATCGTTGTTGCGTTTGTTCTATGGTGAACGCCCTTTATTAAAACTAATCGTTAAAATTACAGTCCATTCATATATCGTTATAAACACTAACTATTAAACAATCATCAAACGCACACAAGATCATGTGCAAAAATTATCGGAGTCGAAAGGTCTTCCCTATGAGCAGACCTAGTGAGTTCTCCAGAAGTGGTATCCACTCTTTCAGGACCACCACAATGGGTGAGATACCGTTGGCCATGTTAATATGGGCGTCTAGTTTCTGCCACACTAGATGGCAGCACCGAGACTCTATTTGGATTCTAAAGTACACTAGGAATTTAATTTTGCCGGAAATGCCAAGAGCCAATAAGGCACTCCAGGGATCTTTTACATGCCGCATAATCATACGACATGGCCGCTGAAGATTTTCTGCATCCCGAAAATCCGGTGTCTGGGCCGGGGATCGAACCCGCAGACATGGGCTCAGAAGGCGAACGGTGATAATGAATATAACTTATAATATTTTAAAAAAAATATTTTTTTAAATATTATACTATAGCAAAGGGCGTGAAATTTCAGTCCCAAAGATATTAGCACATACATAAAAGTTTTGGTTTGCCACTATTTTGCGTTCATGAAAAATGTGATATTTTCGTTCTTAATACGTTTTTAAGACGTTAGGGAGAACTTAATTAATGAATGACTAAGCAGTTTCTGTTCTGTTGTTGTTGACATATTCCTGTTAAGGCAGAGGGGGTGCGATTGTTCTTGTTTTTCAGTGGCGCCATCTATGGCCGAGAATTTGACTTCTGCCACCCAATTCGTCGCACCCATTTATAGGGCGGACCCATTCATTCTTCCACAGATCGTAATTTTGACCTGAATCAGGGAATGATCGAACCCCGATCCAGTTCCCCCAGAGGTGTTGATTTGTTATGGGAACATGGAGGACTTTGCGACTCGACAGATTTAACGTGCGTCAGCCACTATTTTACTATAGGGGGAGTCTTCTATCGGCGCGGTTCGAACCCACGAACTCTCGGACATGGGCCCAGCGCCCTACCGACCAGGCTATCGCGGCCCATAGTTTTTGTTCTAAATAGAAGAAAAACTCACTTAAAAACATTTTACTTTCAATCATGTTTCACATCAATGAGTCACGACAATTTGAGCGAGCATAGATTAATTTCAAACAGAGTTTTTTTTTTTTTTTAAAGATGAAACTTAATCGGTTGTATTAAATGCTTGATCGTAATTGCCAAACTGGTGTGAGAAAATTTCAAGTCTTTATAGATCATTCGAAAAGAAATTTGAATATTTATGTCGTTTTAACACAACAGTGTCTTCCTTAAAGTGTTCAAGCTGTTTCAAATTGTTATATTTATTTTGTATTTTTTTTTAATATAAATGTGGTGCAAAAAACAATAACTTACTAATAGTGAAATACAGTTTGAAGTTCGAATATGAGGCGCGAAAATAAACACGAACGTCAGTTACTGCAGTAATGAAATTTCCAATTCTGTCACCCTGACAGAAAGTATATTTATCTTCAGAACCTTTGATAATGATTTCTAACTTGTGGTTTGCGCAATCCTAAAAAAGAAAATAGTTATAAAATATTTAGCATGAACATGAATTTAAAAAAAAACACATATCCTTAGTAATAATTATTTAAAAATCACTTTTTAAGAGGAATTTTTACTGTCTAACCAAAACATACCCTCAACTACAAAGGATTATCGGTAGTTTCTGAAAATATGCTCTCCTATATTCAGTTGTTGTTGTTAATTTGCGTCGCACTAGAGCTGCACAATGGGCTATTGGCGACGGTCTGGGAAACATCCCGGAGGATGATCCGAAGACATGCCATCACAATTTTGATCCTCTGCGGAGGGGATGGCACCCCCGCTTCGGTAGCCCAACGACCTGCGCGCGAAGTCGAGCACTTTACGGTAGCACAGTTTAACGAGGACCAATACCGCACACCCTCGGTCCCTACGCAAACTGATCCAAGTGGTCACCCACCCGCACACTGACCGTAGTCAGTGATGCTTGACTTCGGTGATCTGCTGGGAACCGTGTCTTAACCATCAGTCCACTGCGGGACCTCCTATATTCGGAAAAGGTTATGTATAACTCTATTATGTGCGTGAGTGTGACTCCAGAACCGTTTGTGATAGTCTTAAAATTTGAGGTTCCTCAGTGCACTGATTGCAAAGACGCAGTTCCCAGTTGAACACCGAAGTCAAGCATCAATGGTTGCTGTCATTAAGCGGGTGGGTGACCACTTTGATCAGCCTGCGTAGGGACGGAAAATACAGCGTTACGGTTAAACTGTTCTACCGTAACTGTTCTGCTAGACTAACTTTCAACTTGTCTGGCTAACGAAGCAGTTAAACCATCCCTCGGCAAAAGATCAAAATTGTGATGTCATGTCTATGGTTTTTCAGCCGTCGCCAATAGACAATTAAGCAGATTTAAAGGGACGACAATAAATTAAAATACCTACCTACCTTCAAATTTGAACAGTGGGTGAATGCAATTTTAGCTCTCAATACTGAAAAATCGTTCAAAAGTTTTAATTTGATTGTCCAAGAGAAGCATTTTAAGCATAAAATTTCTCATTGAAGTATCCATTGTTTTTATTTCACGCATCTATATTATATAAAACGCTAATACGTATGTATCAATAAAACCGATGATATTTCTTTTCTCGCTTTGGCAACAGTTTTTATTTTTATTTGTTAGGCTTCGGCGCGCAAGAGCACGTAGTGAGCATCATATGGCTAATCTATATTATATAAAACGCTAATACGTTTTAATTGATAGGCTTCGGCCTCGCAAGAGCACGTAGTGAGCATATCATATGTCTAATCGGGTGAATTCTCACCGAATTATCAAAAAAATTCTCACAAAATTATCTTCATCGACGCTGATGCTTCACATCCGGCGTTCAGTACTATTTCATATTGTTTTACAACACATGGTTTTAGCCCTCTGGTGGGAAAGACTTTAAAACAAAACTTACAACAGTTACTTTTCTCAACAACTGAAATTTAGAATAGTATGATTAAGAAAAATATGTGAACAGTTTGCAATTAATATTGAAATGCACAGGTTTAGACTTTCCCACAGTGAAAAGTTTTCGGAACTTCAGTGTTCAAAAAAGTATACAAAAGCTAGACGTTAAGAACGCATACAATGAGCGAGCAAAGCGAGCATCGGATTGCGAAGCATTCCGAAATGAACTGCGAAAGCAGTTCCGGGGGTTGGCGAGCGCCAGCGAGCAAGGGTCGAAGCCTCCTAGTATTATATAAAACGCTAATACGTACGTATGTATGTATCAATAAAACCGATGATATTTCTTTTCTCGCGCTGGCAACAGTTTTCATATTTAATTGATTGGATTCGGCGCACAAGAGCACGTAGTGAGCAACCAGATAACAATAACCAGAGTGAGCATTATCAGGTTGTTCAATTCAGATTCATGCACTAAAAACATGACAATATTTAATTTAAACTCAATTAGGAATTAATTAATTAATTGAAGTGAGAATGCTTTAAAAGGCCGCTGTTGAATTGATATTTTTCTACTGGGAGCTACCTAAACGTCTAAAAAACGTTTAAGTGTTTGTATTGAATGCATTGAATTTTTTTATATTTCGCGTTTATTTATGCATTGAATT